TACGTATCACAATTTTATATTAATTATATTTTATATAATTGTTTCTTTTCGCCACTATGCACGATATAATAATGTATAACAAAATAACAAATAAATCGAAATTACATTTCCGTTTTCCGATGTTAAATGTCTCAAAAAGACCCAGTTATCCCAAATGAAACGGGACGGCCGGGAGCGAATTGAATTTACGCACGTTCGTTTGCGCCTTTTCGCTCGTGTAATCACACTCGCTAATTATCTCTTTTTCATCTTCTTTTTTTTTTACTTTTTTTCGCTCTCGAATATCATGGATGTATCGAGTTTTTTCACAGGAGAGAAGATCGCCGCTAATAATTAGAATTAAGTTATCAAGCAGCCGGGAGGCAGGGATCGACAGAGGTAGAATTATCGCGGTAAGAACGAGAATGATAAATAAGAACAGCGTGCACATCTTGTTGGCTTCGACAGTGCGTAACTGCTAAACCTCTCTAACCACACTGAGCATCGGCGATCCACGGGGAAAGGATTAGTTTCTTCGAAGGCGTTTAATCGTGATTACAGGATCGACGTGGACCGTTCTCGCACGCGATCGACGTGACACGTGCGTACCTACGCGACTAGTGCAAATCTGCACCTGAGAAACAAGAAGATGTAAATTCAAGACCTCATTTCATTCGAAGCCCGCGGATATATTCAGCACTTTCTAGATAGACTTAAATAAAAAAAAAGTCGATAGACTGAATAAAGAGTGCACGTGGATAAATTTAATCGCAGTTAATAAATGTAACCTGCATGTAAAGTAACGCAGAGAGTTTTATATATCCACGTAAAATGTTCTTTCGGATAAAATAGAATTATATACGAACATGTGATTTTTTTTTCCTATTTTTCAAATATGGAAGTACATTTCGCTTATAAAATCCACATCTTTCCATTTGATTTCTATCCTCGATTCGACCTTTGTTTCATGTTATAAGGAAGATCAAAGCTGGTTAAATCAAGTTTAGCGATACAAAAAGAAATCCCGACGTTTAAAATATGTGACGAGGTAAATCTCAGAATGCCCGCGGATATCTCGTCGTTCGTACAGCTTCTGCTTCTTGTATTGCGTGTATAGCGGTGTTGCCTCACTCGTATCTCACCAGCTTAACCGTTCGGCGTATATTACAAGAGGTCTATGATAAAGTCCAGCAAAAAAAGTCCGACACTCCCAGGGTCAAAGATCTTGAAGCTCCCATCTCTCTCGACTCGCCCGTGAGTGCAAAGTGTCTCTCTCGTGTAGCGTTCTCGGTCGTTTATCAGGCGCGCTTCTCGGCGGCCACTTCGCGGTATACTTCGATAAACGACACGCGAACGAGAAATAGGGCTAGATGTGTGCGAGTTGTCCCGCGTCCGGTGAATAACCAGCTGAGAAATCTTATTAAATAACTGAATATCTCTGTCGAGATAAAATATTACTCCTTTACGTAAGTACATGCAGTATAAGATTTAATGTTTCGAATATATGTATATAAGTTTTGCGTTAAGAGAGAATTATTTTATATTTGTATAACGTAGATAAAGAACATTAAAAGAACAATGAAATTACTATTTGATTTAAGCAGCTTTACTGAAATAAGAAAAGACGCAGCGCGGGGTCGTTCACTGATGCTGTACCTATATTCTCTAAGAGCGGAACGCAAAGAACGCCGCGTGACACTCTGCGCGTACGTTACCCTGGCTAAAAAAAAAGTGTTTCTGCTCCCGTACCGTATTTTCACCCTGTTTTTTTACCGTACACCGTCCATTCTCGCGGGCCGGATGCGCGACGCTCGAAGTCGTAAAATACCATCATCGCGCATGCGAAAGAACCGGTTGCTCTCGCACGTATCGGAAAACAAATATATTTTTCGCTGTCTATTCGGCGGCTTTAAATATTTCGTCCGTACGTTTCTATCGCACCAACTTCCTGCTCGATTTCGCTCATTCCTACGTATCGACGCTTCGCAATGCGTAAACAAATATGTATAATAACGAATTTCACCGGGCACACTTAGTGCACGTTGATGCAAACACTCGAAAAACTCGAAAAAGAATCTGGTTACATTAACTGGAAAATCTGGTATTAGATTCGACCAAAATGTCTGTTCGAAAATCAACGAATCAAAGCTCTTGTAGGATTTATCAGAGTATAATTAATTCTTTTCTTTAAATTTAATTTTTATATGAAATATACCAGAATTTCTTATTAATGATATAAAACTGAATGCACTGCGGTTAACGTTAACCAGAATTCTAGTTGCACGTTTCTATTAACTTTTATATAAATTTTATATAGATCTTGGAAAATATTAATCAAATCTTTATAGTAAAGTCTATACTGTATAGTAAAATAGTCTATCTATCAAACGTTCTACTTATGAAATATCGAATATCTTATCATGATAACTAGAAATTCTGCTTGATTGCACCAAAATACATTCTACCATATACTCTTGTTAGTACAATTAAAATATTTTTCTCAGTGCTGTTACACAGAAGTTTATCTACATACAAAATCGTAACTTAATAACTTGTGATAACAATAATAGATCAACTGATGTAACTGTTTAAATAGTATGCATATATGTACCTGTTTACGTAAATTCTTTGTATGACAGCCTTTCCGACAGTTATCGATTTAGCTTAAAGATCTCGCTTATTAAAAGCCACTTTAAACGGCTTCGTAATAATAGCCAATATGATGCATTTTTTTTTTTTAATTCAGTATGTGAGATTTCTTGTTAGTTCGTGAGTCAAGGATGTCGTTCATGTTTGTGGCTCATGTAGGACATGCGCAACAGATTTAGTTCCGACACAAGATAACTCCCTCGTCGCGCTACCATCTCCGTCGCGTTATGAAATCCAAGCACGTCGTGCCGATAAATCAACGCAACAGTCGGGCGATCTCGCGGGCAATTCTCGATCGCCGCGCCGGCCGGCCGGCCGGCCGGTCGGCCGATCAATCACACGCTTTCAATCCCCGACACGTGCGTGATCCTGGCGAGCGTCCCGGCGTACGAACGAACGAATGAACATCAGTGTGGTATCGCGAATCAGCACCAGGTGGGCAGCTCAGGCTAATTCACCAGTTAGCCCCATGTGGCTGGCATTCGACGTCGATTTGCATCTGCCTACCCACGCTCGCTCTCAAGACCGATTGGACCCCCGCCGTAATTTTAAGAAAACATAAAGTAAAACCGATAGCCAGATAAATCGAACTTAAACTTATCGTACGTTCTGGACACGTTCTCTTTTTCTGGTCCAAACGTCCGGGTTAAACAAATTTATCTAGGTTTACTTCATTTTCTAGCACAATCGAAATTTTAACTTTATTTCACATCTTGTTTCATAAAAATTTCAACGTTCTGAATATAACTTGATTATATCGTCTGTTATAATTCGTTTAAATAATACTTGCAGAAGATATAATACGTATATATATATTATACGCGAACAATAATTGAAACAATGTGATAAATGTGTATAATATATTCTTCGTATACTGCATATATTTATAATTCGCGAAATACGCAAAAATTCTTATCATTTTTGTATTATTTTTTTTATATTATTTCTTTATTTCTTTGACATGAGTTTCTTTCAGTTTATTCCGCTTTTTCTAGGTAAAAAATAATCATAAAACTTTCCCTCAACGTCTAAGAAGTGTTCTAAAATTTGTCTCATCCACAATACCGACTCCCACCTCTCTTGGCCTCCAGTTGGGACTGTAACATATTGCCCGGAGAATTAATTGAACGGCTGCGAGACGCGCTGACCGTATGGGATATAATGGATGGATAGTCGCGGCTAGATAATAGATGGATGGATACGCCGGTGGATGATAATGGGTCGTGTCAAGTGCGAGACGAGACGAGACGAGTTGAAGTAATCCAAGTGCCTACAATATGTACGCGACATAGGGTCGAAGGCTCCCCAACCGTGACGTCACGACGTACTCGTTCATTGTCTCTCCTGACACCAGCTCTACGTCTATATAAACTATTACATAGATTATCCCTAAATTAGCAAACTACCTTGTGTGAATTCTTTTACTGGGAAATGAAAGCAACACATTTTTAAGGAAAAAGGAAAGAGAATTTCCTATTTGAACTTGTCAATTTTCAACATTAAGTAATTTTAATTAGTATTAAAATTGTATTATTTAATTTACAATTCTTTTAAAGTAAAATCTACTTAAAAATAAATAAATAATCTAATTTTATTGAAATAAAATCTCGATAGCTGTAAACTTAATTTTTGAAAAAAATTTTTATATTTTTATTTATCATTTTATTTTTAATTATCAAAAATATCGTTCAGTATTTCATTGCTGATTGATTATTTTAAAAATAATGACATAAATTTCATGTATAATAACTTGAGTTTGAGGCTGTTTTGCTTAAATACTGTATTGTTTAGAGACCATTGTGGATTGCGACTGGCCACAATAGTCTCCAAATCCACTTAGTCGATCCTTTAATTCCCCGTTTTCAAAATATTCCATGGTCTTGCTGTATCTCTATTCCCGAGAGATGCAAGATTATCTCAAGATAGATGCGAAACAGTAAATAGTTATTTTTAAGAATTTTAACAAAGAGATAAGTCTCTCATACAGGCACAAATATCATTTCAACGCAATTTGATTCATATTATGCCCGTTTAATAATAATAGTCTTAATCATGAATAAATAGTACAATGTTATTCATTAACTGTATGTGAGACCTTAATGTGGTTTCAGTGTGGCAAACCACGATTACTGTAATAACAGTCGATTCGCCATTTCGATAACCTCTGCACAAGGATCAATTCCGACAATTGCTCGACCCGACCGAATTCTATTCCGCGCGCAAATTAAAGAACGCTTTGCTAACGATGCGTTTCCTCGTTCGCCAACGTCTGCGCCCAAGGGAATTAACTGCCGCAGGTTAACCCGCGCCGCCATAAATTGATTAAGCCACTGAAAGCGGCGTAATTTGTCTTACACTTCGTTTTGTTGCAGATCAGTGCGGAAAGTGTCGCGCCAGCACGAAGAGGCTAAATCTCAACAAGTACTGCAAAAGAGACTACGGTAAGTGTTTCCGTTAATCGAACGATGTTGTGGACAAAGAACGGTGTTTTAATCGTACTCGTTCCTCTGATATAATGGAACTGTAGAAACCAAACAACGCAAATCCCGCCACAACGAGATTCTATAATTAACTCGTCCTTATATAAACCAGCTATTCGAATTCTAAAAATAAAACGACTCATTCTAAGGCATATGTCACGAATTCTTTAAGATCTAGCTACTCACATATAAAGCTATCACGCAATATCTCTATATTATAATAAATTTCTTAAGATAATAAAACCTATATATTATCTCAAAATTCCTTAATTTCATTAAGTAATAAACATTTTGATAAACATTTTAAGGCACTTATAAAACAGAAAGAAATATTTTTTAATTCTCATTAAAAACTCAAATTATCAGAAGTTTCAAAGTGTAGAACAAAGATTTAGTGTTATATCCAATATTACATAACACCGTTATTTTCTCAAGAGACAGGTAACACGAAACTCCCAATCCAATATTATTATACATCGACGAGTTAAACGACAGCGCATGGAAGCGATAAACGTAATGGTATATAGACAATCGTCAATTCCCGGCTGGTCGATGTGGAAAAACATTGCGCGACAAAACAAAGCCGCCGGAATTGTTTCGGCTTTTATCGTGGATAGATGTGTGCCCGCCCCAGTAATGTGTGGAGGGCGCATGTGAAACAACGATTTATGCCGGAGTGCTGTTCTCTCTCTTTCTTTCTCTCTCTCGAAAGTCCTCGAAAAAGTCGAACATTACGCAAAGAGAGAGGGACACGAAGAAAGAGAGAAACAGGGAGACGGCAGAGAAGAGAAGAGGCAGTAACGGATTTCGTTTTAGAAAGCCCGACCGCATTTATATTAAAAAAAATTAGAAATTTAAGAGAAATTACAAAATAAATCTAAAATGGATATCTATTAAATAGAAGATAGTAATAAGCAATACATTAATAATATTCTTCATTCTATTTTCTACATTTTCGCAATAATTGCGCTAATTGACTTTTCATATTCTGCAACTATATTGTTCTTTGTAATAAATATAAGTAAAACATTGACATTATTTCAAATCTCGTTACTTTTTTATTTAAAAAATTCGAATATCTTCTTGTTTCCCGGCTTGTATAATACTTGGGGCTCGGAGTTTGCTGAATCCGTCATTGAGGAGAGCGAGAAAGAAAGGATAGGGTTGTTTGCGTACGGCCGCGATTGCTCTCTCTCCTCTCGCGGTGGTGTGTATAACGGCTTGTTCAAAAATGAAAGACTCGCGTTTTAACGGTGCCGGGGCTTTCAATAATAGAATGGTATGCCTTTGAGCCGCGGCCCGCGTGGTCCGGCGCGTGGTTTGGCCGAGCAGAGCGGCATCGTTACTGCCTGCTTCCTCTCCTGTCCGCTCGTTTGATTCAGCGCAGATAAATCTTCAACAGGTCTGCACTTAGCTGTCTCCGACTTAGAATAGCGGCCGAAACGACCGCGCATCCCATAGCCGCGTCGCGAAAGCGAAACCGATCGAGAACAGCCTGGTACACGTGCCTCCATCACGTGTTTTCGCTGGGAGCGAAGAACACGCGGAGGAATGTCGTAGGAAAGCTTCTTAATGGTTTTGACATTATAACGTTGAAGATGAAATTGCGGTACAAAATGTCTTCGCGTGATTCTTGATAAAAATAAAAGAAATTAAGAAAAAGAGAGAGATATTCCATAAAAATATTTAAAATATTATTTTTAGTTACAAATATCATACCTACATAAAACGATTTTATTTTGAGCTTTATCCGTTAAAAATGTTTTTCCCGATAAAAATGAAGATATTTAGAATATTTTAGAATAAAAATAGAAATTGCTTATAGAATAAAAATAAAATTGCACATATATAACATTTTTCACATAAATGTTTAATAATTTTGCATTTTGCATTCTGTTTTTCGTCCATTAATTGCGTTCTCTCAACAAAAAGTCAATTTAAAATTAAGGATGTACTAACTCAACGATACCAGTTTTAGAATTCGCGAAATTGCTACGGAGAAATTGCTATCAGAGAAAATACACATCTCCGTTTCAAAGATATATATTCTGCTATCCTCCCCCGCGAGGAATGTAAAATCTCCAGACTACGACGTCAAGAATAACGCGGCACCATGATTCGAATAGCAAACTCCGGGGTCAGGCACGACGGCGTATAAACTCGTAACGCCGACGTCGAGTAATGAATGGTTCGATCGAATGCAACTCGACGCTGAATCGTTTCGCAGGGGCATGATCCCCCCTAGTCCTTGGCGAAAGGCTAATAGTATCCCTGTCCTGAGGACGACAGGATCGATGGTAAGATTGTAACAGGAGGGAAAGAAAAGAGCTGTGCCCAGCCGCAGCCCTCCATTCGATTCTATCTCGACGATAGATTGAAAGAACTCAGGACGTCTTTTGAACGAAAGGGACACATAATGTGTCCATGTTAAAGGCAATTACGTCTGATATGCATTCTAATTGCAACGTAAAACGTCAAAGTTTTATGAAAGAAAGCTTTCTAATAAAAAAAAGTAAAGTCTAAAAACAGTGTACCGAAATACCTTTCATCTTATAGAATCTCGGAGAAAAAAAAGTAGCTACAACTTCAGCTATTGTCGAGACGAAGTTGTAGTTACCTTCGTAAAAATAATACTATGACAGATTCTATAAGATACAAATAAAAGCTTTAAATACGTTCTTCTTAAAATGGGATTTTTACTTAATAATACATCCCTGCTCTAGATACTCTATTTCAATTATATAATATAACTGGGTAATATATTATATATGCGTGTGCTTGAAATGTTCAATATGTTCTTTTTCACCGCAGCTATTCTGGGCAGAATAACGGACAGACACAAGAAAAGCGACGGCTCGCAGGCCGGCACAAGCGTAACAGGCACATCCTGGATCCGATTCACTCTAAATATCGACTTCATCTACAAGAAAAATCCTAACTCGAGGCTCCGACGTGGCGACATCTCCCTTTATGTTCACTCGGCTGATCTGGCTTGCAGATGCCCCAAAATCAAGCCTAATAAGTAAGTATTTTATTGTGACTCGCATCATTATTCGATTATTATTATTATTATTATTATCAGCTTCGAGATATTTAAAAGGCATACCAAAATTTGGAGCTTCATGTTAATGTCCTTTGAATGTGTTTGATTATTATTAATAATTTCGTTATTGCTTGGATAATACATTCGAAAGACATTAAGGACACGTGAAGCTCCTAATTTTTTATGTTCTTTAAATATCTCGTAACCAGCTTTTGATTTTCTACTTGTCTTCATTTAGAGATCAATTTAAATGGTCAAGGTTTCTAATAGGGTAACTCTGATAATATGTAGACTGCAACGACCGTGAACTGCCTGTCAGAAATTGCGGAGGCCGGCAACAACTGACAGCTGGACAACGATCACGATTACACTCACACGCGGCTCTGTTATGTTCGCAGATCGTACTTGATCCTTGGCCAAGAGAGTGACGGCGGTGGCCAAGGTGGACTCACGGTGACACAGAGGTCGATCGTCATCGAGTGGCGCGACGAATGGCATCGCCGAATGCGCCGTTTCCAACGAAGGGCGAGATCGTGCCATTGAAATGCTCGTACGTCGCGGAAAGAGAGGCAGAGATAGAAAGCATGATGAAGAGAGAAAGAGAGAGAAAAAGAAAGAGAGTGAGTGAAAGAACGAGAGAGAAAGAGAGAGAGAGAGAGAGAGAGAGAGAGAGAGAGAGAGAGAGAACGAGGAAGTGTGTGCATGTATGTATGTGTTCGTGCAGTGTATGTGAGAATGAGAGAAAAAAATGAGAGAGAGAGAAAGAGAGAAAGAGAGAAAAAGGGTGAATGAAAGGAGAGAGAAAGAAGAAAGAAAGAAAGAGAGAGGAGAGAGAGAGAGAGAGAGAGAGAGAAAAAGAGAGAAGTCAATCCCCTCCCAACCGTGTTCGTAGGAACCTGCATATCTTGATTTCCCGACCGCGAATACCGGTATCGGGGTGCCGATTTTGTTTTACGCGCGGTATTCACCGACGATCCTATCGTCGAAAGCAAGATACGAGGAAGGAGGACGAAAGGGGGAGCAGCGATTTTTTTCAAGACGAGCGCATCCGCCCCGCGAAATAACGCGAGCAATGCACGTGTGTAGAAAGAGATTGCGCGCGAAGGCGATCATCTCGTCGCGAAATAAAACCCTGAAGCGATCCACAGGCGCGATCAATCGTTCAAGATGGTACGCTGGAATGAGCACTAAAATCAGATGATCAGTACAATCAATCGACTGTAGCATCGTTTGTGGATTTCTTTCTACCTTTTCGTTTCACTCCAAAGAACTCTAATTAAACTTTGCCCGGACTCTCGCCAAGCACACACATCTGTTGAATGAAATGGAAACTAGTCGTAAGTTTTTCATTCTATTAACATAGCAATTCGCTGTTCGGACAAAGTACCTATTATAACGTCTCTGTAGAGCAAGCGCATTCCACGATGTCGATTCACTCCTGACATTTGTTGCGCGACATTTCTCCCGTGACAAGCGATTTATTGAACAGCATGAATCTTTGAGGGCTCGCCGTCGTACCCGTTCGCACCCGATAAATCCCGCGTCCGTGAGAAATGTCGTGAGATAAATGTCGGGTCGAATTTACGCGACAGATTCAATTACTCTGAAATACCGCAAATCGTCGCCGGTATAATGTTCCTGGCGGTTTACACCCCGTTATTCAATGGGCGAATAATCGTTCGAATATGTGTCGTCGCGTTTCTGTACCGTTAATACCTAACCTGCACCCGAAACCAGATTCAAATGAAAGATACTTCGCTTCCGCATCATAATGCTCGTAGCGTACAGTCACTGTCGCGATCAATAGAAATTGATGGTTTTAATTAAGTTGCGTGCAACGCGATATATTCAACGGTGCAGATTGCGAGAGAACGCGTGATATTAATATCGCTATAACATATAAAATAATCGAGCTCTTTCAAAACGCTTCTCCTGACACTTCGATGGTAATTCATATTCATCAACATCAATTTGCTATATACAAAACATGGACGTGTATAGATTGTGTGCGCGATATGATGCGAGCGTGATATGTACGAACTGAGCGTTAATGCATCTATATTACAGAAGGTACTATCATTAAAGCTTAATAGATTCGGCAAAGCGAAATCAATTTCGAAAATCGCACGCATCGCTGATGCACGATGTCTTTAATCTCGTTCATTCCCTTTTTATATTGCTTATGAGCGAAAATTGAAGTGAAGATTGAAAAAGGGGCACACGCAAAGCAAAACTCCCGTTTGAGGACAAATTCAATTCCTGCTTTTGTTTCTTTATGGATTAATAGTTTTGCTACGTTAGCGAAATTGTAAGGTAATAGGATAAAAGTCATAATTTCTCGAATCTTTGCTTATGAGACCCGTTTCTAAATCCGTCTCTATTTTGCTGCTCTTAAGTTTCACTTCTTTGAAAAAAAGACTCACAGACGTACTGATTAACTGTTATAATTAATTTTATATTTTATTATTATTTTATTTAATTATTTAGTCCTTTTTTTCCAAAAGTGTTTCAAAAGTTAAATATGCAATACGCTGCACGAAGAATAATCTTGCTATAATAAAATTACGCAATGTATGACCGCAAATTATGCACCACAGCGATGTTTCGACGTCGCGGGGTAGTAATAGTGAGGTGAAGGTACGTGTGATAATATGTACACCTCGACTTTATTCCTGAGAAAACCGCGGCACACCTGCTACGGAAGCATGATTTAACCGCGTCCAGTACCGGAGGGCTCGTATCGCCATCGGTACTAAAAGGCCGGTCTCGAGTAGACAAGCGCAAAATGCGTACGTACATGTACCATGTCTAGCCATTTCAAATCTGATTTATTCGCGGCCGCCTTGTGTCTTGAGAGCCGGTGCACATGGAGAAAGTGGGCGTGAGAGGGAAACAGCGCGAGAATCCAATGAAACCACGAGAGAGGCAAAAGGAGAAACGAAAATCGGACGCGAAGCAAGTAGATAAGCGAAGATACGTTTCGCCGGACGTAAAATATATTTAACCGTTATATATTATCATTAAGGGTATATCGTATACATCGGAAGCTGAGAAGCGTTATCGTTTTGATCGTCTTGCCAGAAAATGTGACTCTCGTTTATTCGGCGTTAAACATCACCGGGATATAAAACAGGATTACGCTTCATCTCTCTTCGTTTTGGAGATTTTTCTTTAGCAGAAATAATATTAGAGGTAAATCAGTAGAAATTTAGTAGAAAGATAATTATTTGAAAAGATTATTTCTTCTTTAAAAAAAAATTCTTTGTTGTAAATTTTTCCAATGCAATATTAAATATCTTGATAACCAATTTTCAAATTACAAATTTATAAAAGTTCATTTGAAATTAAAAAAAAATTTCTAATATTTCTTTATAGCTCTCGTTGGTTTTCGAAAACCTTTAATTATCAATTACTTATAAGGTATTCAAATTATTCTCGATATTTTTTCAAAGAAAATCAAGTACAGATTCTTTAAAAAATCGTAAATAAAAAGTAGCACGATCTTTATACTTTCTAGTTTCTACAGCATCAATCTCTTTCAACAGCGTTCTCTCGACATAAAGATAATGACCACGTTTTAGTATTGCTGAGTAAACGTTTGCTAAGATGGAAGATCTTTAAACACAGCTCTTGAATCCTTTATTGTTTTATTTGACTCTTTACCAAGCTTCTGCACGCAAACATTAGGTATCTAAGATTTGTGTACATATCAACGCAAAGCGGCGTGAATATCACTCCGCTTCTGCAAATTCGATTTATCAACGGCATTTGAAATTCCTAAATGTGTTGATTTGTTTGTATTTGATGAGCATGCTAAAGCATGTCGCGCGGCGTATCTTGTATGTACAACGGAGACATCGTCGGTTCATCCGTGAGATAAATCGGCCCCGACACATTCGGTTCTAAGGGCGGCTATTAGGAATTCGAGGCGTACGGATTTAAGCCGTTAACGAGCATCCGTTTTGCTCGGCTTAAACGCTTCTTCCAGCGCGAGCGAGATGCGCCCATCTAAAATTGGAACGTACGGCATTCGCGCCGAGAGACGGATACGCACGTCGTAATCGAAAGTGATGTGTACATGGCCACGCGTTTCGCAAATCGACTGAGCAGGCGTGACGAGAAACCGAACAGCGAATGTCTTTGTTAAATGATCTATTCAATGAGGTAGAGAAAAAAAGAGAGAGAGAGAGAGAGAGACAAATGTCTTCTTTACAACTCTTGTCTTAAAGTTCTATACAAGGTAGAATTAAATTAAGAGTTCAATTATTGCATTGCGCGTCGTTTTCTTTTTTTTTTGCAACACGGCGGATCGCTCGATCGTAAATATGGCACAAAACTCGTCCCCAGGCTTCCCCTCCCTCTCTCGCGACTTTTGTTTTAATTTATTTATTCTTCACTCGTTCGATTATCGCGCGTCGTACCGTACTCATATAGAAATATCACACGCGTTCGTTGAATGTAGATTTTCTTGTACATTTTCTATATAAATTATTAAGATCCTTTTCTAGCTGGTATATTATATTACGTAGTGAAGAAAGAGAAAAGAGAGAGAGAGAGAGAGAAAACACAGTAGAGGCTAAGCACACTGACACGTGTCGCGACGTGAGTCGCGGGTTTGTCGATCGATGGTGACACTCTCCCGGATCGTTTGCGTCGCGGATTTCAGACGGCGACGACGACGGCGGCGGCGTCGTTCGGTTAATCGTAAAAAATCACTGATCTTTATAGCGTAAAATATATATAAGTACTTCGTCGATGTTAAGTACGGTGTTTGAAACAGTACGGCATGAAATATCGATAACGATCATTAGCGTACAATAAAGATCAGTGAGGATTGTTTGAGAATTATCACGTGTTACTCGACGTAAATCGATGAGACTCAGCTGCGATTAAGGAGCCCACCTGTTACGTCCCACCTGATCCTTTCCGAACTCCTGATCAACATCAGCACGCGAGAAGGCTGTTTCTTTCAGAATTACGTCTTTCTCGCGACCGTACGATAAGAGGATTCGCGAAGATCAAACGGCACAAGCGCATCATTTAGAGATAATAAAATAATCTGTAGAAACGTTTATATATTTGTAACCACGCGTGCTTTGTGGTTCGAAATAAGAGAAATTTTTGAAGACTAACTTGATCCTCCGAAGAGAATGGGGGCGTAATTTGCGCCACTCAATTTTGATAATGATAACGTCGTTATGTTACGATAAAATCGTTCTTCCGTCTACGCTACAAAGTGTTGCGCATTCATGATAACCAAAATGCAAACCGTTATATTATATGACTGTTGCGTCACAAATGTCGTACTTATAATAGCTACAGCGCTATGATATTAAAAATAAAAAGATGGAAAATTGTATATGTGTATCGCTACAAAATCGCGTAAACATTCTGTTACACGCGATCGCGATAATGTTCAAGCATCTTTTACGCATCGCGCGTTTCGAGCCAAGTTCCTAAATTGCGCCGAATGCGTCCTCCTTTTGCGTTTTTTTTTTTTATTGTACGATTGATGTAAAATTTCCTTCTAACACGACGAATGAAGGATACGCAAGAAAATCAGAACGAAAGAGAAATGTGAAGTGTACGTGTTGCATTCGAGAAGGAACCAATCATCGACGCTTGTATCGGATTAGCGCGACGATAATATCGACGTTTGTTCGGTTACGTGCGATAATTGCGATATGTGGAATGCATATTATTATCGAGTCTACGTGTGATTAATGAGACTCTAACTCCTATCGTTCACATCGATATAACATATAAGTCACGTTAAAGTCTCCCCTTTTCAATCGTTATCAATTAAAAATTATTCATGTATCTGGATATTTAAAAAAGTATTTTAAGCAAAGCACAATAAATTAATTTAAAAAATTTATAATCAGAGAAAGAAATGCGGAACACCTGAAATACCGCATACTCATTGAGCGATTGTATTCTATTTTAATTGTGAATATTGTGGTTTGTACATTTAAATAAAAATACAATTATATACAATGAAAGAAAAAAAATGGCTTCGCCATATAAAAATGTTACAAAATTATTTGGACGTACGCTTTTCTTGATATCGACAAATCTAAACACGTGTTGAATATTAAATCAGGTTTTAAACTATAGCCGCGCTAATCACATGCGAGCGTTTCTTTTACCGGAAGAGAATCCCGCGGGAAATAGATCAGATGTGATCGCCCTTGTTCTTGAACGAGGAGAAAACAGTCGTACGCTCTTTCGTGTGTGCCGTAGTTGACAATGTATGTATGTACTTACGATTTTAACGATGGTTGAACGTGATGTCGGTGGAAACGATTCTGACGGGCGATCGATAACATCACAGATGGACGACGGACGTTCACGTCGTTGCGACCGCGAGCCAATAATACCACGTACTATGGAGACGATCGATCTCGATCCTCGATCGATCCTTCACATATTACAAAACGATGCGCCCTGAAATCAAAGACCGCGGCGATTGAACTTTCGCATTCCGAGTTTCGCACCGAAGGTTCTTACAATGCAGACTTGCAAGTATTACCAAGTTGAATTGAGCCGCGCTAAAGCTGTTCTCAATTGTAAGATGATACATAATTTTGATTAAAAAATTCGAGAATTATGTTAAATCCTACTATTTCATAAGAAGACAAAGATCGAAATAATAAAAATTATTTTTTATATTTTAAGTGATATATAATTTCTTAATCTATTTATTAATGCCTTTTATTGAGAAAATTGTAATATAATAAAGTTTTTAAAAATTTTTAACACATTTTCTTCACAAAATTCAACACTATTGTATTTTATTTCTTTCCGCAAAAAGTAAAGAAAAGAAAAGACAAATTTTCGTTGTTTCCGTATGTTTAAAAAAAAAATCAAATTTTGATCTTTCCACAAATACATATTGCGTGCAAAATTTCACTAGTAACTATATTTTTATATTCTCGAATTTTTTGTATGATTTATGTTTGGATTTTCGTAACATATAGAAATGCAATTCTTGATTTCTTAAAGACATTAGAATTTAAGTATATATAATTTTTTTTTAAATTGCATGTATTTATGCCAATCGATCTAGCGCTCCATTTTAACTCGAAATGAGATCTGTCGTCTCCACCACCTACGCTATACCTACATGTATAAAATGTACCAACTTAAGATAGCTTTAGATTAAGATTAAAAGACTATATCATCTATTCGCGAATAATACGTACAGTCGGGGATTAAAGAGGACTTTTCGCGTACGATCGGAACCAATAGATTAGACATGCAGATTCGCTGCATGAATAAAATCAATTATTATCGCTTCTGTAAGGAAGGGAATCAATTTTCAGCTTATCGTTGGAGGAATTAAAAGAAAAGCAAAACGAACTCGAGAAGAATTCAGAGTCAATAAACTCGCCACTCGAATTCCATCGCGCACCCGAAGGCACTTTCAAGTGCGAAGGCACTTCGATCGAATATTCAATCTCTCGAGGATTGAATATTCAATCTTACTGAATGTTTCTCGATAAGTTAAGCATCTATCTCGAATACATTCATTTCGACATGATTTTTAACACCTCTCTTCATGACACTTACAGAATGTCTGTAAAATATCGTAACTAAAATTTATTTAAGTCATTAAAAAATTTAATATAAATTTTGTTGTTAATTTTAATATATATCAAAATTATTAAATCTACAAGGCTACCTTCATATACAAATTAAATATTATACTAAATAAATAATTTGAATTTGAACACATTTAATTAGTGTATCAAAGGTAAATTATTTCCAATATTAACCAACAATATTTTTAAAATATTTATTTAATATTATAATATTAAATAAATATTTATTAAATATAATATTAAATAAACATTAAAAAACATTTTGAAAACATTATTAATTAGGTACTTGAGATATTATTGTATTATCCAGCCTCGCGATTTTTCAAATTATTATGAAATCCTCGTACTTATTTAACGATACAAAGTAATTCTTTTTACAAGATAAAATAATTATATATATTTAAAAAAAAAGTTCAATTAAAATTTTATTTCATTTTATAAAATTCTCGAATTTAAAGACTCTTTAATAATAACCTGCAGCTATTTTTAACGAATAGAGAGTCTCTAAGAAAGTTAATGTAATGCAATTTTCTCTCTTCACAATATTTCATTAACTTATATCGTGCACGTGTCGGTAGATCGCCAACTATTAATTGCATTACAATAATAGAGGACAAGAGAGAAAAATCGATTATTACAACACATGCTCAATTTCACATGGATTAGTTCGATTAGTTCGATAACTTTAATCCCTGACTGTCGCGTACAGATATGACATGATATAATGTTTAACGGGCAACTTATCCACGCCCCTGTACGTAAAATTCGATGTAACAAAATAACTCTATCACGGCTGAAAAGTGTATTACATACGAGTTTCTCCCTCCCGAGAATCGTCGCCGAGAGGGGTGCGACTTTCATTCGAAATTCACGAACGGCAAGTACATATTATATCGTAGAGTTGTACGCGATGTTACGCAATAAGAATATGCTATTTATACCGCATTAATCGATTGCTACTGTACCGATTATTACTTAGACTCGATTAAATTATTAAGTGTACCGTCGTGTATTGTGGTGTAATAAATGTGATTAGTTGTATGAGAAATAAAAATGCAAATCCGTAAGAACGCGCCTGTCCTCTCGACTGTACAACGTTGCCGAGAATTTGTTGTTAATATTTTCTTTCATTACTGAGATTGATTTTCTGAAAAGCTAATCATTTAGTCGATACGTTACACACTAATTTTTTAATTCATCTTTTTCGCGAAACAACGCTTATTCTAATGCAGTCAAAGTTCGTTTGATTCAAAATATTTGAATTTATGAAATTTATAACAAAGATAAAATGAGAAAGTAATAACACCTAAATTTTATAACTTACCATTATATTTTTACAATAATTATTGTATTATACAATCTTTCCGATTCAATTATATTTCGTAGATATGTATGAATCGTGTTATCGCAAATATATTTAATATTTACCTACTGATCACGGCTTACTGTTTCTCGATCTAGCCGCAACGCCGAGAGGGCGTTAGCGCACGGGGGGTGCTTAACGTTTCAAATCGCGCTATTTCGCTTCTTGCCATTTCACTCCGTAATCTCCCTCGACTTTTCGCGGATGCTTTATTTGCGCTTTTCGGTGTCTTTACCGCGCGCTTTTAAGGCCAGAACAATTTCTACATACCTGTCCACACGTGATCGTTTGCGTATTGCCCCTTTCGATGCATTTCGCAGAAGTGATTTCGATCAATTCCGAGTATGTAATGTAGAAGCGGCCGAATCGCCGGAATTGAAATCGCGCGTAATAATAGCGTTTGCGTGATATACTTTCGTGATATTGCGCTACGAAGAGATATTCGCGGTAACGCCCGACGAGGGATATTCACCACATACATTTCTCGCGTGCAAAATTCTTTGAACAGTTGTGGAAATACGCGGAGCGATTCAAGTGCGATCCTACAATCGCCGCGGCGCGTCCCGACTACGACTGTGACTAGGCGTATTGAAGAGAGACATGGCGATTCCCGAAAGGGTACTGCCAACCGCAGAGCAGTAAACGCCAGTTGCTGCCTTCCTTCGCTGCCAAGTGACGGATTTTTTAGGGCCCCGCATCTAGATACTCGATCGTCGTGGACTATTGTTTCAAAAATTTAAAAGGTATTAATTACTTTAATAAATTGTTTAATTTGTAATTTTATTATCTTTTACACTACAAACCCGGGAAAAAATTTATCATATAAGAACATCTATAAATATATATAAACATATATAAAAATGTATAATTATATATAATTATACATAACTATATGCGAAATATGTTCATACATATCCATGTATGTTTCTTTTCTTTGTAAAGTTATTGTTTGATACAAGAAAAATGATAATAATAAAAATAAAACATAAAAAATAATTAAAAGATTAATTTTTGCATTGTCTTTTTTTTACAAAAAATCAAGTTTTAAGAAATGAGAAAAAATTGTTCATATATACATATAATTGTTGTGTATATTTTTAATTATTTATATATAATTATATATGAGCAATTTTTCTCATTTCTTCAAACTTGATTTTTTGTAAACAATGTAAAAATTATCCTTTTAATTATTTTTTTATGTTTCCTTCTTGTTATTATCATTTTTTTTGTATTAAAGAATAATTTTACAAAGGAAAGAAACATATATGGATATATATATGGACATATTTTTGCATATAATTATATATAATTATATATTTTTAAATATGTTTATATATATTTATATATGTTCTTACATAAAAAATTTTTCCCGGGAATGTAAAAGGATTAAATAGAATGTGTAAAAGATTATATAATAAAATTACAAATTATGCAATTTATTCAATTAATATACTTAGATTTTTTTATCACTAATCACAATAATTGCTTTAAGAACTCGAATGCTTTAAGATGTTCCGAGCTGGTAAATATTTAAATAATTAAAAAATGTTCATTCCGAAAGCTATTTTAACGACTATTATATCTTATTATTATATCCAACATATATAAAACTTTGAACATATTCAAGTAATTAATAAAAATGATATCAAAACAGCGAATGTTGCAAGATATAATCGCAGAGATTTATTTATAATTACAAAAATATGTACAGTCGTGAACAGATCGGTTGCGATATTTTTTTTATAGGTTTCCAATATATATTTAATATACATAATATATATTTTATAGGTAACTAATATTTTGCAAATGCGAACCACGATGTACATACTATCTTTAGTCTAGAGACAATATAACCCAATCGTGATTCGCATTTGCAAAATATTAATGCGTTTTGAAACCTATAAAAAAAAGTGTCGCTACCGATCTGTCCACGACTGTACATACATACTTGATAACGATCATGCATCTTCGAGACATCGGCAAAAAAATACGAAGACGCGGATTCCGAACGAGCAAATCTGATCGGTATCGCGATAACGGCAATTGTACGTGACTTCTGATACCATTGACATTGGCACGAATTAGTAGTTATTTGAGATATGAAATATCTTAATAATACACGAAATTATGTTTGAAATAATGGCTTACAATAATTTATTTAATATATATAGATAGACGAAAGTTCTTGCGACCGATAATCATCGCGAAAAATACAGAGCAATTTGAATGCGACTTTGCAATTATCACGGCGAGTCGGTGTGAAGCTTGTCACTTGTATGTCGTGCCAATATACCATTGGCATTGGGCGCGAATTAGTATAAGTCATTTGAGATATGAAATATACACGAGATAGTTGAAATGACTTACGATAATTTATTTAATATTGTAGATAGACGAAACTTCCTGCGATACGCAAAACAATATTAAAATTTCGAAAGTAGTGTTAAAAACTTAATTTATAATCAAAATTAATTAAAAATTTAATTTATATGAGTATATCGAGCGCGGAATATACGTGTAACGTAGCAACAATCGAACTTTCAAAATTCAACGCGTAACACACGTGAAGCAAAAGTGGTTTTCATATACTTTTATATCGAAATGAAGAAAATTCGGAAATTCGATGTCATAGAGCATATTTTTATTCATATAGGAAAAAAAGTCATCCATAGAGATATGTTGCCAGCGTCATTTACAATGTCTCTCACACGCGCGTTTAGCATCGCTTACAATTTCGTTCGCAGTTCCATTATATGATATAAAAATGGTCGTTACACTATTGCGGTAGATATCGTTAATCCTTACATTTCGATTAAATTAGGAAGCAAGCGTGTGTTTATGTACATAACAGTCCTCACGTGAGGCCTCCTCTAATAGAAAAGCATCGTCAGAGACGTGGCTGTGCATCGCGTTTTATCGCAATTGGGGATATCCATCTTTTTTGGAACTTTTTTTGGAAATTCGTAACGTAAACTAGCTACTTCACGATCTCACATTCTTTCCCAGCAAAAACCAGTTCCGTCAATTTCGTATTAAAAAATATGAAGATTTCTTTGCCCTTTCTTTTTTTTTCTTCTAATTTGCTAACGTTTCTATGTATACTTTACATATTGTTTACCGATCTAGGTAGATCTGACAAAATAAATATCGTGGGATCGATTCTTTAAAAAATATATATTACAATATTGCACTTAAGGTAAATGTACACACGATAAAACGCGTATAAAATATACAATGAGTTCCTCTATCGAGGCACTAACGATAAGGAACACAGAAGTGTCACATAGTGCATGATGCATGTTGTTGTTTGTGCACAGATTTTTAACGTTTACACGATTTTATCATGTTTTTTTTAGGCATCGTTTCTCTTCGACCTTACGTAGAGGAAACTTAAAAATTGATGTAGGTATATCTACAAAAAAAAGACAAGTATTTTTGCATCATATATCTCAGAATGTTTCAAAAATTAATATAATAATTGAGTAAATTAACATTTGATAGAGTATCTTCTGTGAATGACAGAGTAAATTGTTCTTTTAAATACAATTACTGTGATTAGAAAAGAATCAAGATGCGCATTTAAAATATATTTTCGTTGGAAATTTTCTCTAAGCAAAACGTAGATATACCTACGAGTATTCTAACGCAATCAGTACATGTACAAGCATACGTCACGTGTACACCCAATTATACATACATACATGTTTCCGATTGTAGCAACTTGCATTCATAATTACAATGCGGTCGTTAAATTGATAATACGGATAAATTAAAATCCTAGCGCTCCGTTTCGATTGTATTGGATATAGTTATTTTTAGACATAAATGTCGCATTTTCGTATATATTTCGATTACATTACCATCCATCGCTGAAGAATCAAGTAATTGTATATTGTGCATTGTATTCACTGTATCAGCCAACCGCATTACGTGATGCTAACAATTACAAACTTGATAATCGATTTGCGCTTATATAGCACGGAGACAGGTTTCTCGTAAACGGTCTTGTCATATACATTTCTTTTACAACTTTGATACGGTTGGCACACATCATCGTCGATCATTACGTGAAGGTAATTACGTTGTGTCCAAGATAGAAGGTATACACGCAAATGCAATTTATAGTTACTGATATATAGTTACTGAAACAATTTAATTAATTGGGACATGTTATTATATAGCGCAAACACGAACAAAATTAATCTAACAAAAAGGAAGGAACTGATCAGAAAGGAAAGTTAACGCGTGCTGAGAATCATTAAATAAAATTTGCAAGATTTGTCTATAAAATCCCTCTTCTAAAGCTAAAAACATATACGAGATAGCACAAGTATACATAGAATATATGTATTTAAATTGCACTTTTAAATGTTTGGCCATTTAATGTATAATTACTTTGATAAAAAAAAGAAACAATATAAAATATAATTTCAGTACATTGTATATTATAGGCGATTAAATTAAAAATCTCGATTTTAATAATTCATGAGCATCGAACTGTTAATATCTTATTAACAGTGCCATACAAAATTGATCACTGAAATTTATTTTAATAAAAAAAAAAGAGAGAAAACTTACTCGTTGATAAATGCATGAACGCAACTGTTAATCCATATACGTAGATACGCAATTTTGTATTAAAAGTTTCAAAGTAACTTATTCATCGTGTCCTAATTACGTCCTATCCCATTTGTGCTCTCTTTATATACATCTATAAACTTATTCATTATGTATTGTTCATACATGTTGAACGCTAAGTAGTAGTTTGGAATAATGGATGGAATGAGAGTATTGTCGATTAAAAACTAGGATATATATTACACTCGTGAGTTCACTTATGCCTCACGTCTCAAGATGTTTCGTATACGTATCTTGATACGTGTGAGAATCACATTATTTTCTATAAAACATGTATTATGTATATGTCATTGAGAAGCACATCCATTGGTTGCACACTGGTCGCATAAATTATTGCAATTATTAATATTATTGTAAAAACGCACAGGTATAAACACATAGGTATACAACCAAAACGTCGCGATGAACTGTAGATAATCTCGTCTCATAAAAATAAGTGAGAAATTAACAAGCCGCGACAGTTATGTCATAATGTTTGTTAGCGACTAGTATTTCCGCAGATACTTCTAGCTGTGTCATTCTGCTCTAAAATTTGTTCACATTATATAAAAGAGATACATACATATATTCAAATATAATTTTATATCGGTAGATAATGACATTCTATATTTTTTGTATATAATTTTCAAGCTCCCAAACTACGCTGTATGTGAAGCTAATGTAATGTACTCGTGATTGTTGTCCTGAAATAACATGAGTAGCAACCTCAGGACTGGTCGATCGATGGTATCATCTCATCTACTCAAGATATCAGGACCTAAAATTCCTTTCGTTTTACGCACATCCGTATTATTAAACACGGCGGTATACAACAAGCACACTCAGTAAGTCATATTGCAGTTACGTTGTACGAAAATACATTTGTAAGATTACCTCCCCTAGAGAATAAAGTTCGATAATTGCATAGTTCGTACACTCTTAAATCTCGAATTTATCTTATCTTCGTTATGAAGGCCACTCAAAAGACGGGACATGATAAGATTTCGCTATTTGAAATTGAATAAATTGCTACCGCGACGATAATGAAAACAAAATCACCTGAAGGCTAATTTAAAACGTGTAAATTAAAACTTTTATTATACACCATAAATATTTTCCCTAGCGCTTCACTGCAATAATCTCGTACTCGACGTTTAATCCATAATTGCCAAAGATTAAAAATAACGAAGCGAAATAATGCAAGCAACATTGATTTGCTTTAGGAAAAAATGCAACTGCACGAAACTGTTCGAGAAAAATTTACTTGACAAAAAATGCAGTATTATAATATTGTAGTATACTTTTAGCAAATACATTAAATTTTGTAAATTATAAAAAATCTTATAAGAAATTTCTTAATTTAAACATATATTACATATGTTTGCACTATTTAACTTCGCTTCTTTTATATTAAGTTAATATTAACTAAAGTTTTGGACGAAATATATTTTCCGGTATGTAATCTCAACTGTTTGGCATTTATCGTGACGTATCGTCAACATGTCGAGAATTTAAAAATAGCAATTGAATATTAGCAGTAAGAATCCTTTTCTCAATTTCGGCTAATTCTATATTCGTGATGTATATTTATGAGGTTAATACCTGTGTTGTAGCTGAATAATATTGTTGTATTTGAGTATAACTCCCTTCAGTCTTGAAGAGAATGTAAAAATTGAGAGAATACAAAGGATAGATCAGCGTATCTCAAAGCTGAAATGCGACATTGCATATATAGTAATATACATACATGTGAAGCAAGATTGATATTTTGGATGTTTAAATATCACAAATTATGAGAAACTGTCATATCTATAATAAAAGTTGATAAAATTAAAAACAAGATAAAATATGTATTATCTTATTGTATTCAAATAAGTTAAATTTTAATTTTAATAATATTTTGTTTTGCTTTTTAAAAGATACTTTCAAGATATGGATATAAAATATGTAACGTTTCGAAAAATATTAAATGAAAATATAAAATGAGTATAAATTTGTCAATAGAGCATTCATGTTTTACATTGCTGACCATTTTTCCAATTTCATTCATTGTAAAAAACATATCTACAACTGAATAGCACAGTCAATTATTTATGTACATGGAAATTATCATTTCCATAACAAATTTATTCATTTATTTGTAATTTCCAAAAATTTATAACAAAAATGTATTTCTGTTATAAATTTTTGAAAATTATCTCTCTGAGCTATTGTGCAACTAATCTCTACATTATTTTTTTTTGTGTCAATTATAAAATAAAAGCTTCGAATAAATATTTCTAAAAGGACAGTGACGAGATATTATATAAGTTTCAAATAGGTCAGATTTTTAATTTTAATTAATAATAAATAATGTAAAATTTTTTGCACAAAGACTCAGATTTTGTTATCACAATAAGAAAACTTCAATTTTGCTATACCTTTTGATATAATAAATTACGAAGAATATTGAACCAACATTTGCTGGAACGTTGTCGTCCCAACAGTAGTAGACATTTGACTAATACTGTTGAATAAGGATTCTACTTGTAGATTCTCCGGTAATCTAGTGAGAAATTGTGCGCCGTGTACAAAATCCATTTTCAATAACTCTTCCTGATACAAGTTCAACACTCCCAGCGCGGTTCTGAAGAGGAACTCGTCTCCATCTCTGAGAAAGACATCCCAGATTCTACATGCGACATCGAGAGGCATTGCTTTAGCGTATATAGTATACAACCAATCTAATAGATACAAGTCCGGGCTTAATCCAGCTACGGTAAAATGGGAAAAGACCTTTGGCAGCTTATGCGCAAGAGCACTGGAATATACTTTGTAGTATATATCCATTCTTTTTTGGTCCAATGTAAAGGCGGCTCTGTGGCAAGGATGATTTAGCAGATTCGCGAAGCAGGCGAAGGCGTCCGGTGGCTCCATGTTCAACGATAAAACAGCACCCACGAAACTCATACCTTGCACATAGCCTACGTCCGGTCTGTATACGGCATACGCTGCCAAAATACCCTGAAGGCTATTGAATAATGGTCCACCCTCTTGAAAGACACATAAGGTAGGAAAGGTACGAGATACGTCTAACCTGATTGCGGCTAATGACTCATTGTTAGGGCACGACATCGCCCGGTCTAAGCAGAGATTATATAGGTGCGGCGTTACATTCAAATTATTCGAAATCGCTAATTTCCATACTCTACCGCGGACACTCGGCGGCAGACCGCGCCACCACAGTTCCCTTACTCTCTTCGTATTCCTGACGCTCTCGAACTTGGGTAAAACATACACATTCCACGTGTTAGAGTCCTCGGCCAATCTCTTCTCTTCCTTCAGCTGACACTCCCGTTGTTGCTTGCGCTCTTTCTCCTCGCGCAATTCTCTCTTCCTTGCTGCTTCTAAAATAGCATTGTATTGCTTACGATGGCGTTCCTCCTCCAGTGCATTTTTAGCTGGTAAATTTGGTGGTCTCGGCTGTTGAATTAAAGCTGTACTACCGCCTACCTTGTCAATGTTTCTCGACGGGCTACCCGTAGGCGTCGACTGTTGAGAGCCTCTGCTCTTCCACGAAAACACATTCTTCGTGAAGAGCGTGTTCAATCCCCAACGCTTCGGTATCTTATCACTCTTTTCCACAATATGCTGTTCGTCAGATCCTAAAAAGCTACCTGAAGGTGATATCTCGCTAAGGGAAGACACTGTGCTGCTACACGAGCGTGGCAAACTATTCCTCGGACTACTGTTTGCACTGACGTTCTCGAGCTTCGTATATTTATCCGCGTCAAGCTTCACACCTGACGTTTGTTCCTTACCGCTACATGGAGATTCTAGGTATTGAGAAATACAGTCGATTTGTGCATTGCTAGGCGCCCTGCAGGTCTCCTCCACGGAGTACAACTGCTTCGTGGAGGGATTGTAAGCCAAGGACATACTTTCCAGAGCATGATTCAGGCTGGTGCCCGCCACCCCGACGGAGACGACGTTACCGGCGTCGTACCACTTGTTCTCCCTGATGTGCACGCACAGGGCCTTGGTCCTCGCCGCCGGTATAGGCGCGACGTCGCACGCCAGTGCCTCGTCGACGTTGACGCTGTCGCAGCGCACCGTGTCCCCGTTCAGGGACACCAACTGCTGCTTACCGACCTTCGGCGCGATGTTGCTGGCGATGTAGCAGCCAGACTCGCGTCCGGCGACCTTCACCATCTGGAAGCTGTTGACGGCATTGCTGTGGCGGGACTTCGCGCCACCTGATGATGCCTGCAGGCTCGGCGACGGGACGGGATGCGCGCTCCCGTTCAGACGCTGCGACGTCGCTGGACTCTTCATGGCTGGTCGACGCGGGCCCCCCCCTAACCTTGCCGGCGCATCCGGGTCACCTCCGATCGTCGAGGACAGCCGTTCGCGCGCCGAGTCCTTCGACGAGCGAGGCTCACGAATCCGTGCACACGCATGCTTTCCTATCGATTGTCAAGGACTTGGAACGGCATTGGAGAACGATCCACGACGACGGCTCGATCACCCGTTTCTTCGATCTGACGACATGTCGTACGGCGACAACAGGCGACCCCCCTCCCGGAACGACCTCCGCAGGAGCAGACGATGATGATCAACCTCGCGTCACGCGCGCATCATATGTGGCCTCGCACTCTCGCGTCGTTGATGAGCGCCTCCGCCTCGTAAAATCGTAATCGAGTCTCGCTTCCGCAAGAGATAAAGATTGGTTGTGGTTGGTCGCGTTTCTAAAAATACAGCATGCGACAATATCGCAGATATAACAGAAGACGACTCGGAACGAGAGGCCCAAAGTCAGCGCTCAGAGATGGGTCACATTCTTTCGAAATCAGTCGCGAAACTCAGATCAAAAAATCACCGTGCACTCTCTCGCATGCCTGTACGGCACTGACTGCACTGACAGCAATTTCCATCTTCCACAGCTCCACCGCTCCACGGTGAATTTCGGTCGTTTGTGCGTACGCTACTTGCGCACTAAAGGCCGCTATACATGTAGAGCAGTGATTCATCGAAATTTATAGCCAATATACCTATATTTTGTAGAAATATTGATTTCGACTACATTTCTATTAATGTAATCAGCAATTAACTTGTCAAATAACATCTATATCATTTTGTTAATAAATAGGATATAATTATCAACTTTTCGTTGTTCAACATACAGAAAAAAAGATTAGATAAAAAAAAACGACAATTGTATAGTTATAAATTATATTTTGGCAATCTTGCAGTTTAATTAATTGCCAATTAAATAAATGAATTGGCGAGAATGCTGAACGCAGGTCTGTTTTACCGATTGAACGTGATTATTTTCAGATCGTCCAATCTTTTTTTTTATTGATTTTACAGAATTATTAATTCTTTTTCAGAATTAAAAAATTAACAATAACGGACTCCGGCTACTACATTTTGATTCAAAAAACGAAAAAAATTAGAAAATTATCGACTTGTGTAATAATTATATATGCTACGTGTATAAAAACCTATTCTACAAATAGCCGTAAGAAATTGGCCAATCACAGTCGATTATTCTTCTCATATTTGACTGTGATTGGTCAATTTCTTACCACTTCTCGACATTTTAGAGAATCTAAAAGAATCTTCCTTTATATGAAATCCCGGATTTCGCGGTAAGTTGCGTAATAAAATGGAATGTTTTGATTGGTCAATTCGGATGACGCGACGTACGGATGCGCTCAGTGGGAACGCACCCTAATAACAGTTGGCAAAGCGGCTCTTTTTACTGAACGCAGCCATTGCGATGGCGCCTTTGCGCGACGAACCTTCGTAACTGTGATGTTGGTCATGATGTTGGCGACACTGGAGGAGTGTCAATTCAACAACAAATTTCAATATGAAAACGGGTGACGAGGGATGCGAGTGATGAGACGCTACAGTTTGTAATTAATAAATTCCTCGTTGAAGAATCAATTCTCACGAGACTCGTACGATTTACGACGCACTGGAATATCGAAGATGTTGATCTACGATGTGCTGCACAAGGAGAAGGTGTATCACGCTGTCGCCAACGATCTTCGAGGCCTCGGTGTTAAGTATCGCTTCAAGAAGAGCATGCTTAAGAGCGAGAGGGTCGAGGCGTGCAAGGACATCTCCAAGAAGGTCTTCAAGACCCCGCTGTCTTATCAAGCCCTGGACATCGTCAGTCTGTCGTCGGGCGCCATAGTCCACGTACCCGTGTTCGTGATTCAAGCCTCGACATTCCTGGAGGAGCACGTCGCTCAGGAGGGCCTGTTCAGAAAGGCCGGCTCCCAGGCGCGGCAGCGGGAACTGATGTCCCGTCTGGATAACGGCGGTGGTTTGGGTAACAAAAATCACGCGATTGACATCGCCAACTGCCTGAAATCCTTCTTTCGCGACTTGCCGGAGCCGCTGATCCCGTACGCGTACCACGACCTGTTCGTGCACTGCGCATTGCTGAAGAGCCATCGGGTGCAGGGGTTGCTGTCGGCATGCACGCTGCTACCGCCCTATCACTTGAACACCCTGGCGTATTTCATGGAGTTCTTGAAAAGGGTTTCCATGTACGAGAAGCAGAACAAGATGAGCGTTGAGAACCTGGCGAAAGTCATCGGGCCGAATATCATGCCACTACAAGAGACATCCATGTCGGCCGTACAGAATAGATTGCAAATGCATTTGACTATTGTCAAGGTAATCCAGAGAATGTATACCGATAAATCGTACAAGGAAATAAACAATTATTACTTAACATAACATTGTTGCAGATTCTGATTGAAAATGCAGAAAATATTGGTGTCCTACCGTCTCACATCGCACAAAATATTTCTACTGAAACAAGCGGCAGTACGGACAATGGACTGGACTCGTTTGAGCTACATAGAAAGCACAAAAAGAAGAAGCATCGTAGTGGAAGTCTTACACGTAAGTCATATCGAAATACTTTCAATTTTTATCTAAATATATCTGAAAATTGTATGTTGATCATATAAATATATAAAATATATTTGCATATAAATGTTAGTGAGATTTGTAATGTTAACCAAAAGATTTATGAGATAAGAGCAACATTTAATTTGTTATATTTATTAAATGTAATTTAATAAGTAATTTTGTGTTGCACATAATGTTACATATAATGTTACTATAACATGCCATGAACATGGGGGATAATATTTTACACAGGAATGTTCAACGGCTTGAAGAAGATGGTTGGAAAGGGCGCAGATGATACATCTAATATTAATCATCCGCAGTGTCTCGTACATACAATGCAGTTGAATGTGGCTCCTAACAAATTTACTAAAAAACGAAAAGTAGCTGAGAGAGAATATCCTCCGAGTATAAAGAAAAAGTAATTAAATTATTCTTTTGCTATTATGGTGTATGCCAATTTTTTTTCTTTTTTCCTTATATGTATATATATAATTTTTTTAATTTTAATACTTAATCTTAAATAATATTGAAACAAAATAATACATGAACCTACAATATATGTTTTAGAAGAACAGGCGATAAATTAGACAAGTCGAAAAAACTAAGACTGAGTTTAGACAAATTTGTACCTAAGAATAAGCAAGTAAGTAAATCTGTTTCTCATACTTTAATATATACAATGAAAAATTTATCTAAATCAATATTACAGTGAATACCTTAAAAATCACAAAACTGTAATTATTGAGTAATGTTGAATAGCTTATTTTGATTATAATCATTTTATTTGAAATATTTTCAGAAAAACGATGGTGACTTATCAGATTCATACACGGGTAATTACAAAATGTGTGACGAAAGACGTTGGAGTTCAGTAAGCAATTCTTTTGATGCACACAAGATACACGAATATAACGACGAAATGCCAGATCTAAAATTAATGAAATACAATGAATCGTCAAACAATGATTGTCGTCAAGAGTATAATGATGTATTCGTTAATGCCACTGTGGATTTATCAGACAATGGCGAGCAGGACTTGCTTATGAATAAAAGTCGTAGAAGCGACGAACAGTGGCGTATGAATGTAAGCACAAGTTCAAAGAAATTGAATGCTACGGACGTAAGTGGTAATATAAGCTCACTGACACCTGAGGAAAAGACTGATTCCGAAGAATTCGATACATTTCTTCCTAGTGGTGACATAGTGTCTTCATCAAGTGATCATTGTGAAGAAGACTATGTCAGAATCCCTAAGAGCGAATACGAGGACATCAAAAATCGAGTTTGCGCGATTGAATCGCGTATTTCTCAAGAATTTGGATGTATATACAATGAGAAGAATGATTTAACTACACATTCGCTAAATAATATACAGACGGCGTATGAGAAAACCTTAGAAGAGGCTAGTATTGAGAATTCTCGGACAAGTGACTATCTAGCAAAAAGACTGAGTAAAGAACTAAAGATCAGAAGATCGGCAGAACATAAAATAATAAGATCTCCCAGCGCAAGAAAAATTGGATCTATAAGAAGACGTTCGCAAGAGAAAATTACAAGGTAATTGATTTACATTTAAATTACGATGTTTTCTTTAGTATAATATAAACAATGATAATATGCAATTTTGTGCATTTTAAAATCTCTTTAACAAAAGTATATAAATTTCTATTTCAAAATTAATTATTTTTTGTATAGAATCTAAAATGTTTAAATAGTATATAAAAATATAATTGTGTAAGATTAATATAAAATTACATTAGCCTCTCATTCTCATTAGTCCTATTTTCATTGTGTAATTCAAATTCGAGAATCCTTTATTCTTTTTATTATTAATATAAAACTATTGTTCTATAAAATCATTGTCTATTTAAAAATTAATTATTTTATGTATAGAATATAAAAAGTTCAAATACTATATAAAAATATAATTGCGTAAGATTAATATAAAATTACATTAGTCTCTCATTCTCATTAGCCTTATTTTCATTGTGTAATTCAAATTCGCGAATCCTTTGTCCTTTTTATTATTAATATAAAACTGTCGTTCTATAAAATCATTGTCTATTTAAAAATTATTTTATGTATAGAATATAAAAAGTTTAAATAGTATGTAAAAATATAATTGTTGTGTAAGATTAATATAAAAGTGTTGTTCTATAAAATCATTGTTTTAATGTTACAGCAAACGTATTAGGAGAGCTGCATCATGGCACAATTCTCCAGAATTTAACTTACAACATCACATTAAATTTGAAAGACAAGTAAATGTTTGTCCCATCGAAAAACAATCGATGTATTCTAATAGATACCTGGAGGAGCAAACTCATTCTGTCGAAAAATGTAATGACAACATTTCTAACAATGTGAACGATGAGATAGCCTGTTTACATAATCAAATTAACACGTTGATTTCTCGTTCAAACGGACAACACAAGATTTCAAATAATAGTGACTTGAATCTTTCTGGATTTAAAGATCTGCATTTGAATAATACGATAACCACATCTGTACGTAGAGCGTCATCTTTTCATGGAAAAGATTTTGTAGATAACTCATCCTATTTCGATAAGAAGATTGAAGACTTAAAAAAGGCGAACAGTCACCAGAATATAGCCTTAAACAACGATTGTTCACAAAGAGATAAGACTGGTTTTGAGGGTTCGGACAAAATATCTTGGAAAGATGCCGATAAATATTTTCAATCGGTCTCCCGAAAAAATACATCTGCTCCACAGACTGGCCGAGCGTCTGTCGCGAAACTCCGAACGCAAAATGCTGGCATGGTACTGGCCAAAGCGAGATTATTTGACGAGGGCACAACGAAGACATCCGAGTTTACGTCGAGTAATGTATCCAAGAGGAAACATTGTCGCGACAATTTTGCCAATAAACATTCTCCGAACGTAACTAAAGAAACGGATGCTGAACATTGCAAGCAAACGTGCAACAGGCCGCAAATCTCTCGCAAGAAGTCCAATAAGGATTCGAAAAACAAAAATCGTCACGCGTTATCTCCAAATGCCTCGCAGCAAGTTAAAACGCAAGTAATGGACGCGTCGTCGAAATCGTTTCAACAAGGGCTGAACGAGCATTACCGTTCCGTGCGAAAATTCGACCTGCAAAATCAGAAACTTTCGAACAAGGATCCGATTGTACATCAAACTTTTGCTAAAGATAAGGCGATCAACGTCGCGCACGACGCGAACATTCATCAGAAGGAGAACGTCGCGGCAAAAGGATCGCCGTTGAAAATGCCTGTCAGTACAACGCTGGAAAATTCAAATGTGTCTCCTTACAAATCAGACATTATCAAAACCCCGCATATCAAGCGGCCTTTAACGGTGAAAACGCCGAAAAGTACCAAATTAGTGCGTAGGCCACCAGTTGACACACGTAGAACACCGTTGAAAGCAACAGCACACCTAGGAACCCCAAAACGTCAGAGTCCTAAAAGTATCTTGAAAACACGAGCTCTCAGTATGTATACGTAACAGGAAGTAGGAATAAGTACTGTATGTTAAATTAGTCTCATATACATACATATATATACATATGTTATTTCAAGAAAACTATAATTTTTATACATTTTTTTTTTATATATATATAATCGATATCTTTTGTGGTGTTTTTAATATATATTGAAATACTTATATTAGCAGAATGTATGAAAGTTGGTATTACAAAGTAGAAATAGTACGTCGCAAGCAAAACTGATATAGTCTATATGTAAGCGTTTAAAATCACATTTAAAAAAAAAGTGATTTAAAGACTTTCCTGCGAATTACATATATTTATATATTTGATATATTTCCCTCTTTATAGTTTAGCAAATTTATCCCTTTGTTTAAAGGCTAAAACACGGAAATATTTGAAATATCTTTAAGACTAGTCACTGCGTATACTTGCGCTCTCATTTAAATATGTAATCTACATTGTCATTCGATGACAAATTCAAATTTACAATGCAATATCCTTGGCCATTAACATGTAATACAAATCACTAATCGACAACTTGACTTGTGAATGTATCTATTATAATGAGACTAATTATATCGTTATAATATTTTGCGTACAATCTCTCTCTCTTGCTCTCTCTCGCAATTTTCTCTCTCGGATCGGAAGAAGTCGCGCGCGTTTGGCCACGTCGCACCCGCTCTCGCTTTTAAATATGCGCGACGTCACCTGTCAAGTGTTTCTCCGAAGCAGGAGCGAAAATCATCGCGGTCCACGTGGTTCAACGGTTCACGACACGATCGTTCGCGTGACCAATCACGTGGCACCGCCTGTCCTTCGCACGCTGTCACAACACAACGCGGCTGACATTTCGCGTCTTGCATAACTGGACGACGCGGCGATTTCGCGCTTGATAGCGAATTGCAATATCCATTTTGCCGCGTTAAAACGTTCCCCCCCGTTGACGGATAAACGAAAGTGGAAAGGGGAAGACGGGTTGGCCTTCCAAAACCGCGTCGCATCGTAAACGCGATTAAACGGTTCGAAGATTACCGCGATTACCGATATTGTCACGATATCAGCGCCACGTTAAACACACTCCGACCACCCCCTCGCCGCGGCGCGTGCGCGTGCGTTCATGCGCGCATACGTGTGCAACGTCGCTGCACGTTTGTGGTGCATACATACAAGTCGTCGGACTCGTCGGAGGTGGTGTATACAGGGACAGGGGGATCGTCGGAAACGTGCGATCCCGATCCAAATTCTCCGTGCGTATACGCAAGTGTCAGCGATTTCTCCGCTTGGGAAACGCGGAGGCGGTTCGGGCTGTACGAGAAGGCGCCCGGCACGAAAATGAGGGAGGCCGGGATTATGCTGATAAGTACCGCGCTAACGTGCGTCGTTATCGGCAATGCGTACTATCAGAGAAAACAGTTCTATCCGACCGTCGTTCACATAACCAAATCCAATCCGAGTATGACCGTGAGTTGAGCCTTTCCCGTTTGTTTGAAACGTTCCCCTTCGTAAGCGGCCGCGCCGAACGAACGCGCGCTCTCTTTTATACATATGTGTATTTGCTTTGTGCTCAGGTGATCTACACGCAAGGGTTCATCCTTGCGTTCATGATAAACGCCTTCCTGCGAAAGATCTTTTTCGGCACCCTACGAGCTGCCGAGCTCGAGGTGAGCGAGCCTGCACCTCTAACGCTATCCCTCCCCCAACACGTCGTCGTCGACTTTCCCTTAAACCTTGCCTTGCTGTTTCCAGCACCTAGTGGAAAAGGTCTGGTACGCCGTGACGGAGACGTGCCTGGCGTTCACAGTGTTCAGGGATGACTTCAGTCCTAAGTTCATAGCGTTATTTACTCTCCTCTTGTTCCTAAAGTCGTTTCACTGGCTCGCGGAGGATCGTGTTGATTTCGTGAGTTTTGCGTTATGTCTAACGTAATGCCGTTTGTATTCCCATAATTGAAATGCTCATGTAATGTATCCATTTATTTTTATATATATGCGGACGTTATTTATGTAAAATTATATTCTGTGTTTGCTAGTCAACAGCTCACAGCTGACAAGCCCTTTGTCTTTCAGATGGAAAGAAGTCCGGTGATAACATGGTTGTTCCATCTCAGAGTGGCTACCTTACTAAGTCTTTTGTTCGCCAGCAATCTAACGATGATCAATTATGCCTACAATACAACAGCCACCAAAGGCCCCTCTGTACAACTTGTGTTTGGCTTTGAATACGCAATTTTGCTGACTGTTGTTTTTAATATCACCGTAAAGTATGTCTTGCATACTATCGATCTGCAAAGCGAAACTCCCTGGGATAACAAACCAGTGTTCCTGTTGTACACAGAATTGATTATTGGCATATTGAAGGTAATTGATGCAAACTGTTATTGTTTACATTAATTCATAACTCTATGCACATGTTTCTATCTTCTTTATCAAACCGATGGTTCCTTCCAGGTTTTCCTCTACGTTGCCTTTGTGACCTTAATGATAAAGTTATTTACATTACCCCTATTTGCATTGCGTCCCATGTATTACACAATGCGAGACTTCAAGAAAGCGTTTCACGACATTGTAATGTCACGAAGAGCTATTAGGAACATGAATACCCTATATCCAGACGCGACAACCGAGGAACTGGCTGCCGCTGATAACGTTTGCATTATATGCCGGTGAGTATGTTGCAACGAGTAAAATTATTACCTTGCAATACTTGTAACGCAAACCTAATTGCATCACGCTCGCACACAGAGAGGAGATGGTCACAGCTAGTAAAAAATTGCCGTGTAATCACATCTTCCATACCGCGTGTTTGCGTTCTTGGTTCCAACGTCAGCAAACGTGTCCGACGTGTCGTCTGAACATTTTGAGGCCTACGCCGAGCAACGTACCGCCTAGACAGCAAAATCCTCCCCAGCCTGGACCTCAGGTACCTCCGCAACCTCCACAAGCGCCTGGTGTCAACCCCATTGGTACGACTCTGTGCTATTTCTCAGATTACTTGAATTTTACGTATGAGACCAAATTGTTATCTATTTTTAATCTGTCTCCTTTTTTATTATTCAACATAGGACCACCCTTTCATTTCCCATTATTTTGGGCGGGATTACCAGCTCCAGGTATGCCACCACAACAGCAGCAGCAGCAACAACCACAACAGCAGCAGCAGCAACAGCAGCAACCTCCAAATAATGCTGGAAGTACTTCCTCCCCACCTCAAAATCCGGTACCACCTACTGGAAATATCCCGCTTTTTCCACCGCTATTTCCTACTATAGTACCGTTACCACCTATTCCCGTACCGCCGCCAAATTTAATCGAATTGAGCGAAGAGGAGCTCAGAGCGATGGAAGGTAACTTGCGCCAAGCCGTCGAAGCCAGGATACAAACGCTACAAAGAATACAACTTTTACTAGACGCAGCCAATGCAATGATGAATCAATATCAAACAGCAGCTGCTACCGCCAAGTGAGTACAATGTTTTATAAGTGATACAAAATATATCTGTAATATTCGTGAAACGTGTGTACGACTTAAAATTTACAGCATTCCCGTGAACAATAATCCTGCAAGTACAATCGACAGTACATCGGACATGTCCGCGATGGCAAAGCCAGGGCCAAGCGGTACGGCAAACACAAATACTGAAATCAATAGCGATAGTTCTCAAGTTAAAGTAGAAAACACTCCTACTCCGAGTACGTCGAAGGAAAACGCTTCGGCACCGAGTATACCGAAGGAAGATGCTTCAATATGTAACGACGTAGATTTATCTAGGACTGAATCTTCGAGCGAACAAGAAATACTGCGCAAACGTAGGTTACAAAAATTTTCACCTCCACCAACAGAGTAAAAAATAAAATTGTGTGATAATTTAACATTGTAACATAATAGTTTTTAACTTGGTTTATTGTCGGCCTCAATTAACGCGAGCGGTCAATAATTGAGGACTGTAAGAACTAAAGTTTGGATTTTCTGATCGGTACGAGAGAGAGAGAGAAAGAATATTTCATTCGGTCAAATTACGGGGGTTAATGGGTTTTAAACATGGATGAAACTAATTTGTAAAGACATCTCTAGCGATTATTAAATCCAGGATTTAGTAACAACCGAGACTGAAAGCTTGAGACTCAAATTACAAACTGAAATTATATTACCAACAATCATAATCATATGGGAGAATGATTTTATAGGAATGACAATTTTTTTTGTCTTTCTTTTTGTAAATTATTGCCAGAGTATATACGGAGTACAACAAATTAATTCCATTGACGTTATAATTTTCAGATTTGTAAATGTGTTTACCTGTATATACATATAATTACAGATTTTCTTGCTTCTCTACGTAACCTTTACAGCGTGAGAGTATTTCTTATGAAACTACATGAAACTTTAAAATTAATTTAATATTCTTTGCATAAAAATGTATTTGAGTATCTTTATCCCTAAGCTTTAATATATGGAAATTTCTTATGTACATTTATAATTATATTATCATGTAAATATGCTATATGCTATACGTTTGTCTCATCCTTTCATAAAACCAAAACGACATATCAACAAATACAAGCACGTTTGATAATTAGCAAACGTAATTTATTATTTGTCGATATATATTTTTTTTCTTTGTTTTATAAGAAATATATGATTGATTCACAAAATTATATATTTAGGTAATTATCATAGGATTAAATATAAAGTACAGAAGGAATATGTATAATGAGAGAGAAGTGCAGGAGCACATAAATTTTAGCTCAATTTGAAAGTATATTATTTTATATTTCTCTTCTTAACACATCAATATTGTTGATGCTATTAATACGAATTGGATGCTCTCTTTGGATGCCAACTTCGTATTCAAATTTAAAAATATGATTTTTATACCTGATAATAGTGACAATCATTCAGAAAAAGAGAAGCTACAGTTAATTATACATAAATAACATATTAAATTTATTTTTGAAAAAAATCTTAAGCTCAGTTATATTTAAAAATGAAATTTTTACATTCTTCTCTTCAAATACAGTTATTTATAATCTGATTAGTCTGCAAAGTTGCTCCAGTTTTATACAATTTTAGATTATATAAATATTTGTGTTTAATTTTTTTATAATTGTTAATAGCAAGGAACAGATTAGAAAAATAATTCATTGTTTTCAAGAGGAAGCTGTATTGTTACTATCTAATGAGTATTCCATATGTATATATTGTATATTTGTATATAATTACGACATCTAGTTACTTGCAATTTGACATTCTTGCCAATGTCAACATGACGTGTCTGTAAATTAGGACTACCGATCTAATAATAAACACGCGATTAAAACAATTGGAGCGGCATACGCCACGTGATACGGAAGAAAACGGCAACTGATATTACTGTATCCGCCAAGTTTTATTGATCAATCGAGAGAGATATTTATAACCTCATTTTAACGTCTCGAAAACGCGCACGCTCTCTCGGTTTCGCAAAACGGGGTATGCGACAGACGGCGTTTGTCGTCAACACGTAGGAGCAATTTCCACGATAAACATTGATAATGCCTGATAATGTAACATATTCGTTACACACAACATATTCGTGTGTTGTCCGATCGTCAATCAGCCGATCGATCTGTTTCCTTCTTTCCTCTTGTTTGTTTCAACAATCCGCCTGTCCTGTCGCGAGTATCGATATTTCGACGTGGTAGAGCAGTATTGCGATTTTATATATAAAATTAATTTTCGTACGTCGTACGCCCTGTCCTATCGAGCGTGCACGTTCCGCACGATGTGTCTCGCATACATCCCTCCGCGAGAATCCTAACGAGAGTAACGAGATGTCGCGTGCATTACGTATGCGCAGTGTCCTTTTCAACTTAAAAGTTATCGCCTCCTCGCTTCCCCGCGGAGAAACGAGAAGGGAGAGAAAAACGCGACGCGTGCGAACGCGCGGTTGCTGGTGTATATCGGTGTATATCGAGCCACCGAGTTGTAAATTTAAGAGAGATATCGCGGTGATGTAACGATGTTGTCTACCGAGCTGAGAGCGATCCATTTTTCAAGCCGTTATCGAACCGTAACGCTAATATTATACGTGTGCAAAATATATAACTACACTTTGAAAGTCCATGATTATCGCCTTATGTTTTCGACGAAGGGAACTATCATTTGATATCGTTTCGGGAGGGAAATTCGTCGAGTCTGCTTAAAACGATATCAAAATAATTGTAATACATATGTATACATTATATTCTCTGTCTCATGATAACATCATAGTGCGCGCGCGCGCGCGCGACGCGAGAGAGAAAGAGAGAGAGCGAGAGAGATATTATAATACTCGATATGCTCGACATTATTATTTCCGAGGTTTCCGAGTCATCACTTCGAGACGTGTCGAGAAGTCGCCCGGCCATCTTTGGCCGTGACGTCAGAAATCGAGAAATCTCGTCGGATTCTGGAAGAGAATATATGTGCATTCGCGCGGAGAGGAAATTCATCGCGTAAGTCCTGGCGGCGCGGCACGCGAGGCGATCGCCGCGCAAGCGAAGCGCGTTTCTGAAAATAAAGTCTCGCGATGGGAAAGTCTGCAAACACGATCCAAAAAATGTATACGTACGCCGGCCGCACTTGTCGTTTTTTAACGACTGCAGCACACCGCCGCACACGTCGAGCTTTCCCCTCCCTTGCCATTGAAATTCCGCGAAATTGAGAGCGACGAGCACGATACGAGAGTCGTGACGGATCCTCGCGGAGTTTTGAAGCTGCGAAGAAAGAAGAAGAGATCAGCGCTACAAATTTTAATCGGAGCGTTGTCGCTCCGAGAGAGCCCCCGGCCGTCGGCGCCCCCGTTCGAATCTCGCGCCGCGCGTCCTTGCGTCTCACGCGGTGGACCCCGTGGCGCGTTGTTATGATCTATCATGGCGGAATGTAGTGTTGTGGCTGCTCGGTGTCTATGTCAATTTTAGAGTGGTGCAGCTCAGGGGAAAAGGGTGCGTGCGGCGACGCGAGCCGACGGCGACTGTCACGGGTATTCGCGTGAGATAATCGTGTTCCTGTGAGCGCCCGTATCGCGGGAGTGGCCACCACGTACCACGGGCTTCTCGCGTTCGTTGTCGTCCGTTGCCGCTGCCGCTGCCGCCGTCGTCGTTGCCTCCGCCACCGCCGTCGCTGCCGCCTCTGTCG